TTTGTTATAGGCAGTCATAGGTAAAGCTCACAAGCCACCAACTCGAGGAAATTTATGTAAAGAACAAAGAAACAATTCGGAGACAAGGTAACATAAAACATATATATAATTGAACAAATTCTGATAGTTTACATTCACATTGCTCTATCTAACATTTGGATATCTCATGAGCAATTCCTCTACTATACTTATTAACATCTCTATGATACTCAGTAAATCATTAAGTAGTTTGACTCCTACTAACCCTCTTTCAGGACATACTATATACTAGATGAAGCACAGAAAGCATTTAATATTACTTGAAGTTTTAGTGGTGAAAGTTCTCCACAAATGCTGATATCTCAGACAATGGAACGGCTTTCTTCTTCCAGTCGATTTCTCCTGCTTTAAACCATGGCTTTTTATACTTAACTAACAGTGTTGGCATCATTCTAGGTAGTATCAAAACACTAAACACTGCACGTGTTTCTTGGTTTTTGATTGTTTGTTAACGTTGTTATAAAAGGAACCAAGACCATAACTACTGTTCTTGGGCTCTAATTGGTTATTTCTTACATACTAGTAAGGTGTTGTATTGGCATTGGGAAATACTACCAGCTCAGATATTTTCTTAGTTTTCTTACATTTTAGCGTATCCTTATCTGTATCCCTGACGTGCATAGAATCCATGACACTCAACCTCCACCTTGTATGTATTCCCTTCCATACACCCCCCACTCTGTGGGCCTCAAGTTTAGTGTTTTTATTTCATTATCTCCTTAACTCTGAACTCCTCTCTGAACGTGGTGCAAGATATTTATCGATATCTTCATAGTACACCATGGACTCCATAAATTCCTTATCAACCTGTTTAAGCTAATGATAGAGGCTTGGAATGCATTTCAAATGAAGTATGTGTCCCATTGCCCAGAGTTTCTTCATGGGCTTATTCGGCAACCTAATTTGCTTACTTATATCAGCATGTAGATGTTTTTCATTACTTTGATTGGTTAACTAGTAACTCCCTATGGCATTTCATTGTCCATAATTATTACCAACCAAAGTTTATACTAAACATTTGTTCAGCAATTGTTTTAGATATATGTTAAGAAAGGGTTTAGCAGAGAATTGTTAACATTCACAGATGAACTTAATGTTGACACGTCTAGAATTCAAATGTTGTACACATTTCACTAATTAATCTTCATCTTCAAGTATTACAAATATGTCATCAACATAGTGGTTGTAAATAAGTAGTTTGAACTCAGTAAGGTAGTCCTTCAGCCAACTACTCTCATGAAAGTACTAGCCATTACAGGCACTAAGCTGGACCCCATGATGACTCCATCAGTCTGTTCACAAAATTAACCATTAAACTAAGTGAATGTGCTGTGGTTCCATCCTGAAATGTATTCAAAGTAATCAGTAAAGCCCTACTGTACTTTTACTTGCAATTCGGGAAATTGAATTTTATCCAGACTTTCATGTTCTATTGTGTACTTTTCAGTATTAAGAGTCAACTAAAGCTAATACTACTAACATGTAAATTTACTTAGTCATTGTTAGTTGAAATCTCACTATGGATTTCTTTAGTGAAATGGTAAAAACATTTATACATTATTTCTGTTTCGTTAATACATTCTTTTATCCAGTTAAAAAAAACAACTTTCATTTACATTTTAAAGATTCAATTATCTTCTGAAAACACTAAGGGAAAATTATAATTTTGAAGGACAAAAATACATAAAATATATCACAATGGTCTTCAATGCTTTCACCAACTTTAAAATTCCAAAAAGAAATGTAACAAAATGTAATGAGTAGTGATAAAGATATCATGACATTAAATCACTATCATATATCATGTTAGATATCACTAACATTAAGTTAATGAATGAAATGTAAATTACATTTTTCAAGTTTTAATATATTTGACATTCTTGAGTATCAGTAAAACCAGAAAATCTCTATCAGCACTTCAGAGTTCCAAGAATATCAAGGCTTACCCATGGCCATATGCAAAATGTTTTTATTCAGGATCTTCTACATTCTATTCTGTACATATGATAATACTTTTTTGTTGAGTTTACAAAATATCATAAATACTAAAATTGTTTATTTTCATACAATGAAGCGGAAAAATAAACACTTCAGCATAACATTTACGAATGAGAGGCAACAGGCCGTTGCTAAAACTTCATGATAACATTCTTAAGCAATAAACAGTGGGTGATATTTCACCAACCAAACATGTTTTGAAAAACGAAAAAATTCAAAATTTAAGGCACCTTTTCATAAAACTATACAAGCCAGACTTAATGACAGTTTAACAATCTTACAAAATATGAGCCATGATTGTTACAAGTGAAGGTTACAATGTGAATCTAGAAAACCATGACTGCCAGTGCTTTAACACCAAATATCTTACAAATTAGGTATTTTGGCATACATGAAGCTGCTGGCATCTACAGGAAAGAGGTAATGTTAAATGTTACAGGTGCAAAACTTATTAAAAATAGAATAAATGAATATTTCACACAATTTAACTACTAAACTGTCCTATTTCATGCTCAATTATTTCATAATCAAGCAATCCAAATACAACCAAACTAGGGTAAAAAAAAAACCTTTACAGTTCTGTTGAGCAGTTAAGCTCTTAGTTATCTGCTTCAAATCAGCTGGGTATAAACAATACATCCTGTTGTAATCCAATCTTAATCAATTATTAGTGTGTATTTTTAAATTAATATTATTTTATGTTACACGTGATATGTGTACAGATAGTTTTTGTAAGTATAAAATAAAAGGGATGACTAACGAAACCTTTTATGGCATGCATATACATTTACCAATCATAGCTACTGTTGATTACCTTAAAACTGGAACTGCATGACGTAATGGCTTTAATAATTCTCTACAAGTGACACTGAAGACAGTAGACAACTCTTACTCTCAAGAGAAAGATCAAATACATTAACTCATCTAATATTTCTTTTGTAAAATCATTCTTTGAGTTATAAAAGGATCTTCAAACACAATAAAACAGCTTGAGTACCCTTAAAATATTTTTACGCAAACAGAAAAAGTTAACACTATTCCCAAAATAAAACTGAAAAATAGTTTTTTAAACATTTATTTGCTCAACTTTTTTAAATTTTCACCAGTTCTTTTGACTTCTTAATTAATTAAAAATACACAACAAGAAAGAAGATATAATAAATAAACTAATAGTTTCTTATCTATAATAGATTTTTGTGAGCAATTCATCTGGTTGTATATTAACAAACTTTAAAAGTAATGATGTTACTAAACAGATTAAACAAAATTAAATACAGTATCTAAGAAAAGTGCCAAAATGTATGAAAGCCAAAGATGAGGTACACAGGTAATAAATTAACAAATCTTAAGAAAATATCAGAGGCAATTTTTTTTCCCTATATTATGCTGATTTCATTGGTCCAACCACCACAAAAAATGAAAAATAAAATTACTGGCACTTTATTGACTTTAGAACATTTCTCTTTAGTACATTATGGCATTAATAATGAAATTAGTTCTGACCATATTTATGTCCATATCTATTCTGAGCATGAGATTGTATCGAAATATATCAGGTATGTTTTACCTTCGAAGTAGCATTACACACATACAGATTTACTGAAAAAATAAGAATATATCATTCACATAAAATTATTGATTTTTACAGTACATTATTTTCAAATAATTCAAACTTAATACACACAAAATAAACCATTTTCTGCACATTTTGAAATTGATACAATTTCACGGCTGAGACACAAGTAACTGAAGCAAGATTTTACAATGCAAACATATTATAGTTAATCAAAAAAGAAGACAGGATAATACAAAACTATGAGTTGTTAAGTGAGATACCAATGTACATTTAAAACTATATAATTTCTTGTTTGAGTTAAAAAAAGCTTCAATTTCTCCCAAAAACTTTTTGATTGGTAGAAATGTATTTAAAATTAGGTCCAAAATATAACATTTGAAAAATATGAAAATTATTCATATTGTTCTCAAACATACTGAGTTACCAATTTGTATAAGTAAATTGAGCTGAGCCTAAAAGTTAACAGAATGATAGAAACAATCCTATGGACTGCTCTTTCTGTGATATTTGTTGAGAGAAATGAATCAAATTTCTGCCAACTGAGATATGTATATTGTGTGATCTTTTGTAATCTGTCACACATTCAGTTTTTAATTTATTCTATCTATAAGGACTTAAAAATAAAATGCTATATGGATTAATAATTATATTTTATAGTACGGTCCCTTAAACATCATATTGGATCTGTTAAATAAATTATTTGCGATGACTTCTGTAAATTCTTTCAATTTACCATTATTCATAAGAAATTCTCATGAAAATAATAAAATTTAAACCCTATACTATATGTGAAAAAACAAAACTTACCAATAAATATATTTAAAACACCAAATGATTTACAAACTCTAAGAAAAGCTACAAACATTTAATAATTTCTTTTTTAATAATTTTTTTTTCACACATTGTTTCACGCACCCCATAAATGATCATACAAGCAGTGATATTCAACTAAGACAAAAACTATGTTGATTAAATAATTTTTCTTTTTTCAAATCTACTTCTGAGTGCTATGGTGATACTATTTAAAACATTATTCATTTAATACAATTTATTATAATTTCTTTTACTTGTAAAAACATTAGAAACAAAACAATAGGAGTGACCAGACAAGCAATTCCTAATGCAGCATTTATGAAAGAATGTGATTTATTAATCTGATAATGCATTGTTCTCATGGCTCTTTACAACACTCTTATTGCACAACTTTCTCCAAACACAGAAAACTTCTGCAGTCTCGATGCAAGTGTTGCATCTCCACTTGTTTCCACAATTATTTGACTCTTTTTATAAATCACTAATATAAATTTCAGAAGGTGTAATGAATTACAGTCTCATACGTTCCATTAACACTAACTTTTATCCACACTGCACATGATTTTTTTTTCCCTTCTACTACATTTCCAAAAACCTATAGAACAAAGGTTTAGACACTACTCCTAGTCTTCATAAAATAAAATAGAAATCAGAACTCATGAACATATGCTTAAACTACATCACATGCTATTGTGAGATATTCATAAATACAGCTATTTCACTGAAAAATGTTCAATTCTCAAAAATAAAACAATTGAGGATAGAAGATATAAAATGCATTCTTGGACACACGCTGAAGATTGTTAACAAACCGTAGATTTAAAAAGATTAAATTAAAGACCGTATCATAAGACTAGATGACAGTCACAAAACTGCTGATGTAAGCACATTCACCCAATTGCAACCACAGTAAAGAACAAGCTTGGCAAGCTAAAACTGTTGGTTAAAAGTAAGGTGAGAAGTGTACTATCAAAACAGTGTTGATCACACTGTAAAAAACTGGTGTTCCTGGGTTAGAAAATATTTCAATTTCTCCCCCATGGAAGCTCTAACAGCTGGAAGGCAAGTAACACCAAGATGAAGTTATTCCTATTTGGACAGTTTACTGATGACTCTAACCAGAGCACCATTCTCTTCTCGTAACCGAAGGTTATCAGCTTTCACGTGTTCCAGTTGCTGTAAGAGTAACATCTGTGTTTTAATTAAAATGTTATTGCTTATATAAGAACAAAATTGAGATTTTTAGAGTACCAAACATTATGTAATATATATACAAGATTAACTAAATCTTTCAATTATTATTATAAACCATTAACTTTACCCCTGTTCAGTTATTACAAAGAGGCTGTGATGTATTTTAAGTTTACAACTAATCAGAAAACATGTATTTCTATTCAAGATTATTCTTCACTTCACTAAAACCTGTTCAATGATATGGAAATTTTACATTTAACTAAAACAATTTTCTTTTCAGAATATTCACAAATGTTTTCCCTAAATAGTTGTTTCATGAGAACAACTATCTGATTCCTCCAATAAAACCAATACATACAGATCTTATGATAAACACACAAAAAAAATTTTCAAAAGATAGATACAGTTGATAACCTGACTAACTCACCTTGTAAACTAAACATTTAGTCAAAGACCTACGTATACCTCTAACGAGAACTGCTGGACTCATTAATGATACCAGAAACGTTATGGGAAATGACACTTGTATTCAATAATTCAGTGGAACATTTTGTAAATTGAAAAGGTACTGATGCATATAAGTATTCTTACTCTAGTGTCTTACAATCACCTTCAACCTGTCTTTACAATAATAAATATATAAGTAATAACAATGATTTAAAAAACATTATAACCACATTAGCACCTCAGTTCATAAGTGTTATGAAGACAACTATTTTAGTAGCACAGCATTCCTTGGTGATTTTAAAAGAGTATGTATAATTGATTTTAAGTATTTTTGCAAGTTCTAGTACACAATTAAACCTAAGCACCTCTTTTATTTATCCATTCAAATCTATGTCACACAATTAATATGCAAAACCTTGGCTACATGATAGTCAAATCTAAAGGCATATTAAACTGCTTTCATTTTATTTCAAATTTCAGCTAAAAATTCATCAGAAGCAAATTTAAATTCAGGAGATAAAAAATATAAAAAGTAGTCAGATTCCATGTAAATAGTAAGAAAGCACATTATTTGATATCTTTTTTTTGCTTTAAGTGGTTACACATTACAGATTTTAGAAGAACTTCTACTTGTCAATTATCTTATTTCAAAGAGTATTGCCACTAGCTACTGTACATAGGATAGCTTTCAGACATGTATAATTTGTGTATTAACCATTCTTCTCATATATTAATTACTCAACTCAATATGTTGCATATTTTATAACAAAACTTTGAAAATTAAACTGTAATATATCTGGTAGATTTTACTTAAAACAGCTAATGGCATGCACATTCCAAAGACCAGAAAGATTACCTATTTGGATAATTTTGAAACCACTCGAGTCAGAGCTCTGTTTTCAGCTTTAAGCTTTTCATTTTCAGTCTTAACTTTGGCCATATTCTGCAAGTAAACACAGAAAAAAAAAAGGCCCTCAACTGACCACTGGGATTTTCTGACACCTGAAGTTCAATACTTGATGAGTGAGCTTTAGTAACAAACTACAAACATGGTGTTAGGATTTGTGTTTTAAATAAAAACCAGCACCTTAAACATTGCCTAAGCTTTGCTTTAAATACTCTTAAGAAAAAAAATCTTACAAATTTCCAGAATAGAAAAAGAAAAGAGTCAATGGAATAATATTAATAATAATCTCTAATTCTGTTCTGTACAAAACTTCCATGACATGCAATTTGTGTGATCCAAAAAGGTGTATGTTTCACTTAAGCTTTAAAACAGAATCCTTAAAAAGATCTAAGAAACATAACAAAATGATTTATGCTATACATAAACTGATATTGGATCTAAGTGCCATGCTGTACACAAAATATTTAACTAAGTTCTGATGCATATAAAATGATATAAAAAAAGATGGTTGACATTATTATTAGTAAATATTTTGTATTTCTAAAAAAGAAATTGTGTTATTCTATAATATAGATATCCATTAATTATTTTATTAGATAATTGTGTAATTTATTTTTAAGGTACTTTGTTTATTTTTGTGTGTGTTTGTTGCAAGTATGAACCAATGGGTGTCTTACAGTTGTTGGAAAGTGAGAATAATGGCTACAAAAAACTTAATAGACTACACAAGTGATAATTGAAAAGTTAACTAAGTCAGTAAGTAATCAGACATTACTGTTTGGGTTTAGTTATTTAGACCAAAGATTTGGCTTTCAACTGAAGAGTAGGACTCCAGGAGATAATTTTACCTTTATGATGTCATGTAGCTAGGCAGTTAAGAACATGATTATTTTCAAATAAATTATATATTTGGACGTCTGAACAAGTGAACCTTCAGCAGCTTTTTTTTTTTGTCAAACTGTAAAACAATAAATAATTGGTTACAGTTTAACTGAACCAAAGATATCCTTCCAATAACTTATTCCACAACAAGTGTTTAAGTCATCAGTGAATCTTCAAAGAATCCAGGTGAAAGCCAAGTGTATAATAACCAAATACCACTGGATGCAGAAAGTCTGTTATGTAAAACAGGTTCTTAGCACTATGTTAAAATTTGAGTTTGCTACATTTTGATATACAGGCCCTGCTACTGCATTCTGTTATATAAGGATGGTATTTGACTATCTGACACTGTTGTGTAGGTTTTATATACATCAGAATGCATCATAATGCAGCATTGTCTGACACAATACCTTTTATCAGCTAATTGGAATCCAGTAGCAAAGTATATACAGTAGAATGTACCATTGTCAAATACTTTCTTTATATCATGTGATAGAATCCAGTACCATGTTATATACATCAGAATGTAGTAGTGTCACGTACCTTTCATGTATCATGTTGCTAGAATATGGTAATAAGTTATTTACATTGGAATGTAACAGTGTCAAGTATCTTGCTTATGCATTGCCATTAAATCTCACGTACACAACCTTGTATTACATTATAATTACACAATATGTAAATTAAGCATCTTATTATTTGCTATTCATCTGAAATACAAATCATTAGTCATTTAGCCTATCTTCATAAATGATAATTAGGTAGATGTGGGTTTTATGCATTTACAATTCATGACATTTCATGAAGTATGGCTACCATGAATACAATAGCACTCCAGCATTGATGTTGTATGCTTAAAATCCAAGTGTTGATAAGTCCTAAGGTATATTTTACTATTTCCTAAGAGAGCTGCAGCTTGGGGCATCATTGGTGTCTAGAATTACTTGATAGGATGTGCAGCATCTCCCTAGAAGATTCAGACCAATCTCCTCTTTTTCAAAAAAATGTATCATCTTCTGTAACATTGTAGAAGGAGGGAAATAACAATCATTGGGCTGATGTGAACACCAATTATATCATCATATGGAAGTTTAAAGAGTCACATGATGTGGGCTCTATAATGTGTGGTATTGATGGTATCATTCTGTGGGATGCATAAATTAGTACATTTACCAATACTTACTCTGGTCTACACTGTATTTGCACCACCACAACTTTATCATGTTCCTGGATATAAATGGAATTGAAACTGATTCCATTTTCTCTCCAAATGAGTATAGACCTCTTTATCTAGCTGAAAGGTGAAGCATGACCCACCTGTAGAACAAATATTACTCCATGTGTTACTGATTCACTGCATGTGTTCTTGGCATCAATGCAGATGAGTGTTCTGAGGCTTGATATGGGCAGAATACACCTCTGTGGGATTCTGGTATACAGGCCATCAATGTGAAGTTTATTTCTAGCCATTTTTATATTGATGTGGTATTCATTTTGTGACTTTAGCTACCTGGTTCAATTTTAAAGCAGGCACAATATAATTTCACCAACCCAGAATTTACAGACAGTGATCATTTGCTTTCTCCAGATGTCCTGGCAATTCTACCATTGGTTTCAAAGCAGTTTCAGATTCTGTAACCAATTTCTGAGACATGTGTAAGCAATGTTCAACAGCCTGCTTTGGCTTGTTGGTTTCCTTCCACTCAATGGCTCTCTACATGAGTGAAACATCAAAATTTAGAGCAATTTTTAAATGTTAACATTTTCTTAATCTGGAAATGTATTTCTGATAGAAACTCATCTCTGAATACAGACTAGCCATCTTGCTCATGCATCTGCCTAAGAGACTTGCATACCACTAGCCTTGAGAAAATTGCTACCTAATTTCATGTATTTTAATGTGAACTGTGCTGATGCATGATGACATCATCATGAGACAAAAGCTCTTCATCAATAGGAGGGTGACACAACCTTCATACACAGTAACTTCCCCTATACATTTCACTCCTGGTAACTTCATTCTTTCATAAGGCAAGTTAAAAATGTGCTCCAAAAGAGGGAAGGATGGGTGGGAAGGTGTGAAGAGATATCTATCAGAAATACATTTTTAGATTATGAAAATGTCAACTTCCAAGATGATAACTCGCCTCAATACATGGATTAGCTAGAATCCCAGGTGGGGGGGACAGTGCAAAAGTTTACCTAAAGGAGCTCCCTTCAGAAGGCATCTGATGGGAAGCCTATGGAGTGTGGCAACTGATGGCAGAGGCTCCATAGGGTACACCAGTGGGAGACAGCATTTCATCTCGACCAGGGTATACTCTTTGCCAAGAATGTAATGGGGGAAGAGTCAAATGAGCCCCATGTGTTGCAGAGACCAGTAGAACAAGAACATAACCATCCGAGCACTTGCACACAAACAGTTGGTGAGCCAATATGTGTAGTGTGGTAGGGGCACATTCAGACCTCAACTCTATTGAACAGGCTCTGCAGGAAAGACTCCAGTTGCAGGAGGAGGGCACTTTAGTTATTGAGTATGGTTTCATATAGTGTGTGTGTGCTCACCTCAACTCTACTGAACATAAACTGGCCATAAGAGGAGGGCACAGTAGTTTTGGATCATGTTTTCTGTACATTGTGTGCTTACCTTGACTCAACTGAACAGGCTCTGGTATGAGTTATTGTTTAGAATGGTAACCCACACTATGCTGACAGTGTCACCACCATTCCATTTCTCACCATACTG